AACTGCTAGACCTTATTCACCAGAACAAACTGAAAGGTATTTTCCTTATTCATGTTCTCAGTATAAATAATGACTTAGACTAATGTTCACAAGGCCCCCAGAATCTTCAGATGCAACTGTATTTGTGTCTGGATCTGTGTGAAATGCACAAAGACCCATTTTAATAGGCCCCCTTGAGCAAATGTGTACTTCATCTGCAAACCAGGACAAATCTGGTATTCGTATTTGTCTTTATTGTAAGTTGATTAATTTAGATGGTAAAATATATTCAGATATATATTTTCACAGGACAAGACATTTTTTGCATTGTCAATTTTTTTGCATTGTCAATTTTTTAAGCACCACTGGAAAAAATAAATAGCCTTGACAGCAAAATATTTAATGCATACACATTTGATTGACATAAAAGTAAAAATGTCTATATCTACACTGTAAAGATACAAGCAATTTTCAGGTTCAGTAATTTTCCTTCAAAGTCAGGTTTGTCAGTGCATCAGTTGTACAGGAAAATAAACATATTTTCTAACACTAAAGTCTATTTATCCTTTTCCTTACATCTTCAGACAACTTGCAACAGCTAAGATCCTGGGAGGTTCCACACCGACCTCAAATTTACAATTGTGCAGTTCACCGGACCACGGCGTCTGCCTTCCAAGCCACTACAGTAGTTGATGGTTAACGTTCTGGTAGACATTATGGTGTGTCTACCAGCCTTGGTCTTCTTTCAATACACAACTTTACGGTCTTTTCTGTTAATTGATTAGTTAATGTCTGAACATTCATGTCATTTTTAAGACATTTAATTGTTAACTTCAGGTGGCTGTGCAACCATCCATGTAAATCTTTGAGACTATTTTATTAAATAGGCTCAAAGATTAGGGGTAATCTTAAATATGTCCTTCGTGAGCAGTAAGGTGTAAGGTAATTTTATTTATATAGCACATTTTCAGCTACAAGGCAATTCAAAGTGCTTAATATGAGTTAAAAGGAAATACAAACAAAATAACAAACCAAAGGAAAGAAAAAGCAAAATGACTAATCTAAATCCTTTTCTGGTGTAAAGTTAGTAGTTAGTTTCTAAAAAGTAGTAATATAAAAGTAATTAACTAGTGACTGTTCCTGTTAAGTATTTCTGGATTCTAAGTTTGTAGTTATTCTAATTCTAATTCTGAGCAGTGGGGTGTAAAGTTAATTCAGAAAACATTTTTGTCATCTTCTTTCTAAAGTATAAACCAAACGATGCCTCTGTTAATATATTTGTGATAAACTTTTTTTCTGCCATAAAAATAGTTTGACCACTATGTCTATAGTGGTCAAACTATTTTGACCACTATGGGTATATGTTTGTGATTGACTTTCAACAAATGGTCATCAATACGGTTTTAAAGTAAACACCATGCAAACTCCGTATCTACCTCACCACAAGTTCTGTTTACACATACTGCACTGTATGCAAGTAATTGTGATTGCAACTGACTGAAAGTTGTACAACTCCAGTTCAGGAGGGTTCATGTCCTCCAACTTTTAGACGTCTCTCTTTTAACACACCTGAGTCAAATCATTTTTGATTCAAGTGTGTTGGACCAAGGCATATCTAAATGTTGCAGGACATCAGATATCGATTCCTGGATTTGAGGACCCCTGTTAAAGGGGTCAGTATGTTCTTGCAGCAGCTCCATCGGATGAGAGAGTTGCTGAGATCTGAAAGGTCCTGCTCCTCCAGTATGAAAATAACATGATCCCAAACCAAACGTGGAGGCTCTATTCTGTGTAGAAGTAAATATAAGAGGTTATTTATACACATACAAATTCAACAAATTAGAATTGAAAGGCAATTTATTTCACGTAATTATATTCACTAAGAGAATATAACAAGGTAAAAGGCATATCAGAATATTTCACACTACACAAATATTATCAATCAGCAACGTGACTTAGGAATTTGACTGGAACTTGTTAGGCAGATACTGTAAGAACCACAACATAGAGACAATTTTCATGGATTGAAGATGCTCTCTTAAACTGCGCTGAAATGTGACACTAAAAAATACCAGGACGTGGCTACCAGCAGCTGAAGTAGCATAGCTCAAATGGACATTAGCTCTCGCTCACAGGAAAATGAGGACAGAGTATCAAACTACCAAACATATAAAATGTAATATGGAATTATTTAAAATTGCTAGATGTTATAATCAGAAAGCAAAGGCAGCAGGTTTAACTTCTACTTACTTCTAAGAGCAGAGCACCAGGACTTTCCTCTTGGTTTGACTGCCTGTTTTTTCCAGCCAATGAACCAATCCACCAAATAGTGGTCATTTTTTTAAAACATGTAATCACATCTTCATGACTCAAAAATGAACAATATGTCTAAAAACTATTTTGGAGTATTGAAAAGGAGTGCTGAGGTATTCTATGTTTCACAGAAATAACATCTTTGCCACTTTGGTACAAGTACAGTGGCAAACGTTCAGAGGATAAAACAAATACATTCCAAACAAAATTCAGATGACCCAGCTTTCCACCAGCATTTAAATGCACCACTTACACATGAATGTGAGGCTCCCTGGAATCATGAAATGAATCTCAAAAACCCTTGTGCACTGGTAACCTGATGTGTGTGTAAATGCAGTTTTGTCTATGTGTATCAGGCAACCCTATGTACTTTTTTTAACAATTTGTAGGTGTAGGAGAAGGTTTGAATTCGTAATTATTAAACTTGAGACTGAAGTTAAAAAAATCTGTGTTGAAATTGAATGTATGTGGGAATTGTAATTGTGTTTGTGCACTTTCATTTTGTATTCATAATTTCTTAATATTTGTGTGTGCATTTGACCACATATTGTACCCTGAGTTATGAACATGTTTTGTTACAGATTACAAATCCAGTACATTATACCCACAGGTATTTTGTGACTACTTTCTCTCCATATGTAAGTGTTACCTGTAGTTAAAATAATTAAATAAAATCTGTAATGAATACATACACTACTGTCAGATCGAATCTTATTTGAACTTGCATTACAAGATAAAATAATATTCTTAATATCTGAGAATTATCCATGAAGGATAAAATTAACATTTATTTATTGAAGAGTCAACCATCGATCATACTCGTGCTTAAGATATTTATTATGCTTTCTGTTAGGAGTATAGAAATCATCTTAAAATATGTCATATAAAGAGTAATCTTCCATTTCAGAGTTTACATCGACCTTCATATTCTGAACGGAATATTCATGCTAAAATTGTGTTTAGCATTTTCAGCATACACCACCTCACAACCAATACTACTGTGTCCCTCTGAGGCTAATGAGTCAAAGCAAGATGGGACCGGCTGCTCTCATCTACGTCAGAAGATGCCACAACATCAACTTACAAAAAGGAACAACAAATAAACAGAACAGAACAGAACACATAAAATAAAATAAAAAAAAATATTGACAATTCAGTTATTCCTTACAATGTTTGTACATCTGAAATACACAGCAGCTAGTGTTAGCGCAATAAAGTAAGATAAGTAAGGGAAATGAAGGAATTTAATATAGCGGATTGCTCTCAAACATTACTCTAGTCCCCCACAGCCTCCCCAACAACGTTAAAGTAGGTTCATCGTCTACTTTACAAATCAACAGATTTAATGATCAAGATGACTACATTTTTAAATTGGTGAGCCCTCCATATTGATGAGCTTTGAAGATATTTTTACAGTGAACATATTTTCTTGCTCTGATAATGCCAAGTGAATGGTTGTCAGTGAAGTCAGGATGGAAGGGGTTTTGCAGTGCCAAATAGAGTACTGAAACACTGCTTGAATGAAATCAGCTTACTTGGAAGCTACATAAATAATAACAATAAGAATGATGAGCATAATGGAACACACTATGGCAAGAATACACATCTTCTTCCTGGATTTTTGCTATGACAGAGAGAACAGAGAGAGTTGATTATTGGCTGGGACTTTACAAAAGAGTGGCAAAAAGAAAAGCTAAAACTGTCTCACCTGGTAGTACGCGGCTCTCTGGAGCTGTTCTGCTCCTCTTTCTACGTGAACTTCAGCATTTTCCACATTAGCTTCAATACTGTCTGCAAAAGGCATAGGAAGGATATCACATCAGAAATAAGTTTAATTTCTCAAACATGCTCATTTTCTGAACTCCCCACTTTAACAAAACAATAACATAATGTACACTGACAATTAAAAAAAATACTTTAGGACAATACACATATGAATATTTTTTAAAACCAATTTTTACTTCTCTATATCCCATGTTAATGTTCTGAATTATTTTTATAGTTATAAACTGCCTGCTATACAAAACTCACTAAAGTGTTCCTCTAAAAATCTTAACAATTTAGCAAGCAATTAAAATCAAAACAACTGTTGTCTGTCACTAATTTAGCATAACTAATTTAAAGGACTGTGTTTTATTTCAGAAGTGGACATCCCAGTGGGCAACCACCACAATCCAAAGTCAAAAAGGTTATTGAAAACTGTAAAACTGAACTCAACATCAAAAAATTAGAGGAGAGAGGAATATTAACAGAATGACTGCCGGTGTTACTCACCAATCATCTCTCCCTGGTCATGAATCATAACTGCCAAGTCCTTAAAGATCTGGTTTACGTCCATAATATCAGACTGAAAAACAGTAAAGCAAAGACTCACATATGGAAGCTGTACACACACTCCCCCTTTCTCTCTGCTCCTGGTTCACCATAACATAGCCTGCCATGAATACTAAGGCCAGTTAGCATGGTCTCTAATGATGGCGGATAAACTGTTTTCCTGCAACGGTGAGTTGTTTCTTCACCATTAGCGCATTGAGCAACGTGGATGATTGACAGTGCTAACACTGTCAATTGCTCTGACTGGTTGCTTTTGACTCAAAGCAGTGCATTTTTGCAGAGGGAAATAGTAGTTCAGGGAGGAGGTGGGGGAACTTGATGTTTTCTTTCATACTTTTTCATACTTAAATGTCATGACACAGTGACAAAAATGTATGGAACATATGGAAAAACATATTTTTGTAAAATACATGTAGGGCAGTAGCTTAAATCAGCAGAGGCCACCAAGATGTTACATTTGTTCTTTGGGTTGTGGAAGTTGGTGTAATGTGTCCATACTTTGGCTTCTGTTACTGTGCGCTGGCAGTATAACAGTCAGTGTTTGTAGTGAATTCTGAATCAAGCAATACTGACAGCCAGCTCCTCACTGTAGCCAAATGTCACATTTAATGTCAGAGTAGTTAGGTTTGTATCTTTTTTTTTTTTTTTTTAATATATGCTGTATTTGAAAACAAACAAAAAAAAATAACTGTGTTAATGAGACTTATGTTGACACGCAGTGAAGCGAAGCCGATGTGCTGAGTGGTCCGAATAAACGGTCTGAACCATGATCTCAACCACTGTGTGTGTCTGATTCTTGGCTCAAGTTTCTTTCCGACAAAAACCCTTAAAGAAAACACAACACAGAGACTTCGGAAGCAGTGAGGTGTCATCTCACATGGACAGGGTTACATCTTTGTTGCTGTGACCCGTATCGTGGTGCTTCGGGATCACCTAGGCAGCAACACCAGCAGACCCGTTACACAACAGTTTCGATCTGGTAGTTTGCTGAATGTATGACAATATGAGTTAGCGTGTGAAGCTGAAGCTGCAACATATTCTTTTAGTGTCACTTTTATTGCTCTGTGTTTAAGGTATTAAAAAAAGAAAAAAAAATCATCATCAGTATCAGCTGGTATTTGGGAATAAAAACAAAAAAAAACAGTCACCCAACTTTGTGCAACTTTTCGGACTTTTCTCCGCTGCTAACAAAGAATGATCTGTTTCTTGTTATTTTAATTCTGCATAATATACTTAGTAAAAGCAGGTTTATTTAATCAATATTTACAGTGAATATAGCTGATAAAGCCTCTAAGTTAGCGGTTCTCAACGTGGGCGGTACCGACCCCGGGGGGCGTTCAGAGGACGGCAGGGGGCGCTGGCGGAAATTTTTACAAAAGGGGGGTACCAGGATTCCTTTGGGGGGGCGTTTGGTCGAAGGTAAACTTTACCTTGAAATGGTATTGTTCAGTCACAACAATACCAGTTTAGACTTTGAGCAACTTGTTAAAATTGTATTGTGTAACATTAAATCATGCTTGGCTGCAATGGTATCGATGGCAGCTCTTCTTCTTCTTCTACTCAGTGTTTGTAGCTTCTTGGCACAGCTCCGTTCTCCTGCTACTAGTAGCTTCACTGCATCAGTTCAGCGTTACACCGGCTGATGACGTTGCTGTGATTCACTTTGTCTGGTATTTTTGTACATATGTTTTGGCAGTTCTGTGATCATGTCAAAGCAGCAACTTATATTAAAAAGTGTTTTATTTCCGTTTGAAAGCTGCCCGCTTCCATGGAAGGACAACAGAAAATCATTCTTATAAACTAAAATCACGATACCCTGACTTTGTATCCCTCTGAAAAATGAACCCATTTAAATAAAGAAATCCCTCCATGGTGATACCACAATAGAGAGCGTTCATTTTATAGCGTTAACATTGGAGCTGAAAGTGGTCCGGTATGAAACGGGGGTGATAGAACAACACAGCACTTTTAAATTTCAATAATCAGAATGCAGAAATTGTTTCCGTTGTTTTAAAAGGTTTATGTCAGTCTGCCTTTTCCCATCGATACGCTTCCCGACCGCCCTGCACCTTAGTGGGTTAAAAAAAATAAAAAAATAAAAAACGACGCGCACATTGCGCAAAACTCTGAAACAGGAGAAGCGGGACATAAAACGGAGCGACGACCTAGATGTGAATTATGGCATAAAAACAGAGAATCTGACGCAGAACAGTGAAAAAATCAACACATGATGTGAAACACATGACAATTAGGAGGCGCAGCAGGTGATGAGTGAAGATTACTGATGGTGAGCGTCAATAAATGATAAAATAAATCTAGCAACAGGAAAGAAACTAAAATGGACATAGTGTGAGACTCGTGGGTGTCCAGCTACTGTGATTCTCCTTTGAAGAATAATCCACAGAAAATAATTGAGCTCTTTCTCAGTGTCGCACATTAATTTTTTTTTCACTACCCCGTCAGCTGTTCTCGAACTCAGCTGACCGGTGTTCTGTCGTCATCGAACGTTTGCGCTCTCTCCCCCATCCAGGGAGCCTTTCACAATAAAACATTTTACATTTCATAACTCCAATTTTCACGCTTACACTACTTCCCCCTTACAACAAAAGAAGCGTCCCCGCTTCAAAACATAGCAAATAAAATGGGGTGATTTAGTACAAGACAACAGCCATTTTCATAAACTAGAATTATAGAATTATACTTTTACAGGAATGAACTGTTAATACAGGAAACAAGGAAGAGAAAAATAAATAAATAAATTACAATGCAACTTCAAAAACCATTCTGAACAGGGCATCAGAGTAACCAAAAGTCATAACTTAACAGTGAAGAAGGGGGAAAACAATAAAGTAAAATAACTCTTCAGAAGTCAGGGCTATACCTGTCTGGAGGACGAATGGGACGTCCGTACCTAGTTTGTTGCTTCACTGGGGTTGGAACTGCACTGTCTGGTGGGCCTGCTACTACAGTTGGAATATTGCCCTCACTTTGGCCTCTAGATTGAATAACATGTGCCATGTCAGGTGTTGCCATACTACTATACTCAAATGTCCAAGGCCTAGAGCCTGCGAGGGCGGTTAGAGTGGGGGTCCCAGTACATGGTGGAGCATCTGTCACAGATGACCTGGGTACAGGGGACCTATATGGCTTCAGATGGTTGTAGTGAACAACTTTGGGTTTAGCTCTGGGGTCAAGTTGATCTAACACCTCATAGTCAACACCCATATCTGCCTCAAAATCCAGCCGTTTTAAAACTTTGAAAGGACCAGTCTATCTAGGAGCCAACTTATGTCTAGATAACGAGGGCATGTCAACCCACACTAGATCCCCAGGATCATAAGCTTCATGTCTCACTTGCCTGTCATAATAGTGCTTCTGTTGTATGGCTGTAGCAGCCATGTTAGCAGCTGCAGTGTCAAAAGCAGAACACAGTTTGTTTAGGAGACTAGTAGCATACTCATTAGATGCACATGTAGGTGTTTGCTCATTGTTAGTGGAAGCACTAAGGAAAAGATCAGCGGGTAAACAAGCCTCCCTACCATGAACCAAAAAGAATGGAGTGAAATTTGTAGTGGAGTGTACACAAGTGTTGTATGCAAACTCAACCTGTTTCATGTGTTCATCCCACTCACCCCCTTTTGAGTAAAGGTACTTGGCTAACTGGTCTTTTATTGATCTGTTAGCCCATTCCACAATTCCATTTGACATTGAATGATATGGAGATGTCCTTGTTTTGTGTACACCCATACTCAAACACAGACATTTAATAAGGTCCGAGTCAAACTGGCATCCTTGGTCAGTGTGTAGGCTGTGGGGAACACCATGGCGACAAATGTAGTCCTCAAACAAACACTTGGCTACAGTAACGGCTTTCTGATCAGGAAGTGCATACAGGTTAATGTACTTTGTGAAATAGTCCATTACAACAAGCATGTATCTGATTCCATAAGTAGTGAGGGGCAATTCAGTGAACTCCATCGCTATTTTTTCAAAGGGGTCTGCTGATGGGGCGTTGGCGGCCGCCGTGCTTCGCACATCACACATTCTAAACACCACTCAGTTATATCCCGACACATGTAAGGCCAGTAGCACCTAGCTTGAGCACACTGTAAAGTCTTTACTGCATCAAAATGTCCAGCAAGAGAATGACCACGTAGTGCCCTGAACACTTCTTTTTGCAGACCACTTGGAACAACAATCTGCACAACAGGATCGCCAGGGGGATGCCGAACCTGCCGACAGAGAAGAGAGTCACTAATAATTAGTTTGGAAACTCCCTCCAAAAGTGTCTATGCTCTGCAGAGCACTTCTTTATCTTTGCAAAGGGAGGCCTGTTATTTGTAAGAACCCATTCCAGAACAGTTTTTAACACAGGATCGTTGTTCTGGGCCTGTCTAAGATAGTCAGTGTCTCTGTTCAGGAAAGAGAGGTCAATAGGGTGATCTTGAGCCACCTGGTGGACCAATGCAGTAAAATCCACAGAATTTGCAGTCACTGTTGGAACAAGAGGAGAGTTTGAGGGATTTGAAACAGTAGAGCAGTCAACTGCAGGAGATGGTCGGCGTGACATTGAATCAGCATTTGCATGTTTGTGCATGTTTGTGTCCTTGTCTGTGTTCAACAACCCAGTCATATGGATCTATTTCAAGGGCCCACCTGGCTCTACGTCCAGTTGGGTCACAGTCCAAAGCCATTTTCCTCAGACTAAGAAGAGGTTTGTGGTCAGTGATGATCCGAAAGCGGTGTCCAGTTATATATTGTCGTGAAAACTGGCATAAGGTGGTGAGATCTTTCCAGGTACACGCAGAAAACGGAGCATAAAGGCCTGGGAAATAACAGTAATCTTGCATATTGATTTAATGATGATTAAAAGATGAATGAAAATACATACATATGTAATGGTTGGAATAATCTGTAATGTACATTTGAAATGTGTATTCTGTGTTTGTGACCTGAATAACAGTAACAATTTGATGGTTGTGTGATGATTATTGAAGTGATGTATGATGATTA